TAAAAAAAAGCACCACGACCACTTCAACTAGACCCTGAAGTGAGGGCGTCTCCGAAGCGACTATCAAACAGCAGGGCATTGCATGTGATTCTTCAAGTGTCTGTGTTCGTGAATTTAAATCACATTCTTTAGTGCGGTGTGGCAGGGGACACGATTGCTTCGTGCGCTTGACAACCGCACTGAGGCTCACTAAATCGCCTTCCTTCTGAACAAGGCCAACTCTACTCGGAAAAAAATTTCGCGCTCTGAAGGAGGGAACTCTCGATTCCTCCCACATTTGGCAAAGCCGAACAGAATAGAGGCGACCCACGACCGACACATGGCCTACTTAGTCCACACCCACCTTGAGGTTTGCCCGCAGAGTCTTCTGTTGCTCTGAGGTGTAGTTAATGCCCACCGACGTGGCCACCTGGCGCTGGAGTTGTTCGTACTCGCGTTGCCACCGATGCAGCTCCGCCTTCGCCGCCTCCACGTGTTCGGTGAGGTCGCGACACTCGCGCTCCACGGCGTCGCGCCTCCCGGCCAACTCACGAATGGCCAACTTGTGGGCGTCCACCTCCGCCTGGGCCACTTCGAAGCGCGTCTGCGCAGCCTGCCGGCGTGTGGTCTGCGAACCAGCGGTGCGTCTACATCTCAAAGACTGATGTTGCTAAAGGAGGTAAACAGTCCAGTGTACATCAACGACAGTGATGTTTGACACCGCGCCACGCCATTATCCACCGCTGAGAGCAATCTGTTTTCATTTCTGATTTCCGATTACCACCATGTAATTCACACATAACTCCAAATTTCAAACAATATTTCTCTTCCTGACTCTTCTTAAATGAATCAGATGTCCCCGAAGCTCAAGGAGTAACTGGTAGAACTCCTTTTTTCCCTGGATGCAAAAATCGATAGTTATGTCAGTCAACAGCGATGACTTGGCTACTTTGGGAGTAGAAATGCGTTCGACTTGGCTGCAAGCCTCTGAGGTACATTTGTCTACCGAATGCGGTGTGACAGAGCATCGAATCTGACTTGAAAATACCTATATATTGTAGTTAGTTTCAATGGCGTTTACTCTGATCCCTCGATTTCACTTGGGCTGGATTCAGACAGCCGTCGGAGCCTATTTAGTTATCAACGTGACCTGTCAATAGGCGCAAAAGGGCTGAGAATGCTGCAGCTAGTGACGGTGCTAGAGTGGACAGCCAAGGGGCTTTTACTCGCCCTCTAATTACGGACTGTCATGAAGCGCGTGCTCACGTACGCCTTCCCCCCATCCCACCACCTCTTCCATGTCGACTCTCAGGCTTGAATGTACACGCGTCGTCCTCGTCGTCGTCGTCTTCGTCCGCAAAGCCTGCAATTACACACGCGACTTTGTGTGGAGCGAGCATTGCCGAATTTTTGACAACTCCGCAGTGTGTGCGTGTGTGCGTTGGGAGCGCGCTAATCGTTCGCCCACACCGCTGAAGACATGTGGGCGGGTGACAACCCAGGGGTAAGGTCTGGGGTGACAGTAAATAACTTTCGAATGAATCAACACGGCAAGGTGAGGAAAAACGAGGAGCGAGCGCGTGCACGTGTGCATGAGGGGGGCGTGGGTGGTGTTTGAGCACAAAAGGGCCTGTCAAAGTCGGTTTGTGTGTGCGTGCGTGTGTTTTCCGTCTTACCAGTCACCCCCTGCTCGCCTTTGATAAAGACGATCGAATTCTACCGAGCAAAACACACATTATTTTTGCACTTGGACAGAAGGAGAGAGCGAGAGAGAGGTGGCTAATTATGGCCGTTTCGTGAGCTAGTCGACACGCCAAGCGCAAAGACGGCGTACACCAATTGCCCTCTGAAACACGAAAGTGCCTTGACAGCAGTTGGTGGTGGGTCACAGGCCCGTCCCGTGGCCAGGGAATAATGGAACCCGTATTTTTGGTGCCGAGACGTTAACCCCGGCTGTAGATCTTATCTTCGCCCACATGATAATCGGGGACCCTCATTGTCAGGCCTCGTTGGGACCATTGAATCAGCCAACTCCACGTGCATATTTATTTATGAGTGAGCTTTAAGTAAACAGCTTCGTCAGGATTAACAAAGCCGAAAACAAATCACGCGTAGCAGTCCAGCGGAATGCAGTCAACATCTGAAAGTTGTAAAGCTATCACCGCTTCTTCATGTTCAACCTTAGAAAGACGACTTCATCTAAGACGTAGTGGACAAAAGGGCGTGGGACAATTACTACAGTGAGGCAGGAGGTGGTGTGTCAACGAAGTCTTAAGAGTTTGGGAAAGGACAGTGAAGCACTTCTCGTCAACCATTATCGGCAGGATGTCGCATCATCTTTAGCGAACTAGTGTCGTAACCTAGAAACGTACCCATCGTTAACGCAATAGCATCACATTCGTTCAATTATTCAGTGGAGCCTCAAGTCTCCATCTTCACGACCATGTTGATTACCATACAGTCAGGAATCGAAGCAACCTCGAGTCTGCAGTCAACTTCTTAGAAGTTGCAGCTGAACACCAACTCAAACTCAAATAACGTTTTTCTAAATGAGTAGACACCTCATCAGGGTTTCACCACCACCACGCCACGACCCAACTTCGCACCGTTTTTAAAGTCGGTGGGATTTTGATGGTTTCGAAACGACGAACTTTCTGAACTACCACATCAAAAAATGGACCCACTCATGAGACAGTCTCCAGATTCACACACACACACACACACACATAAATGCCCGGGTTAATGGGAGATTGTCGTCATGGCCAGTACACACGGTTTGCTAAGTGACGTGGCCATGGGTGCAGGTACCACGAGATTGTACCGAAAAGATCTACGTTTTGTTTCGATGGCGTTTCAGGGGGGTCGCATCGCCCGCATGACAACGTGGAAAGGGAGCACTTCGAGTGGGCACGCCACCATCCTCTATTTGTGTCAGTCAGGAAGCTGTGTGATTAAAACTCACCCAATATTCCAGACATCCCTTTTAATCTCTACGCCTTTCCACCTAGTTTTTTTTTTCAGTCAGTGATTTAAGTTATTTTGTGAAATTTCTTTCTTCCCGCTAATTGTTTGCCTTACGCCACTGTTTCTACTGTGGTTTAAATAATCTAGGTTTGAAAAGAGCGCCTCGGTTGCATACAAAGTCACACGCACCATGATAAGCAAACATTTTGGCAAGCTGTCGTGAGCCCGCCTGCGGTCAAACAACGCCGTTGACGATTCTCAAAGTGCGACAGTGTCTGGGTCGTGGCCATGAGGTCTTCCCTCTAATTACTAATCGCGCTCTCTCTCTCTCTCTCTCCAGAGGTTATTCACAGTCCACACACACACCGAGATTTTGACATGTGTGTGCCAGCGACTGGAAATTGGCAAAAGATCAACGTGACATCTGCAAAACATCGAGAGATATTCACTGTCTCTTGAGAGATTCTTCGCGATCATCATCATCATCATTTGTGTGTTATCTTAAATATATTTCGTAATTTATGATGCACTGAGTTAGCTATGCCATCGTGTGATTTATAGGGTATAAAAATTGACCTCTGTTGACATTTTCGGAGTTTTCCACGAATTGTGATGAAGTTGAGTGCTTCATAGACAAGCCGACGGCGATTGGATAATTCCACAGCAGGCGGGTAATTAGTGTAGACGACTTGGCGCGAGTCACGTGATCATTAACCCTGTTCACGGGAGGGCCTATTGCCAAGACACTACTGCCGTAGACGTCGGGTCTAGGTAACTATCATTCCTTTAGTAAGTCTTAGACGGCAGCGGTCTACCGAACTGCGTGAGTATTGCGTTGGTGTGTGTGCTGCAAGCAACGATGCCTCAGGTATCTCCCGTTGTGTGTACGTGAATAATGCATTCACGAAGGGTTAATCAAAGCCGGGGCTTTTAATTAAGCCGAGTCGTGCGTCTCGTAGCGTCCCCTTCTTCAAGTTAAGCGGATTGCGTGCACCGGTGTCGCTCGAAAGGCCATCCATTATGAATGAGTTGAAGTCAAAAAGGCAATATATGGACACGTGGCGGGTTTGCCATCGCTCCCTTCCGCCACCACCACCACCACCGATTTCAGAAAATTGCTCGTCTTTTATGCTTGCTCCAGAGGAGACAAGCGTGGTGTTGCAGTTTGAATCATCAAGTGTTGTGGGCGTTTCCCTCGTCCAGATGCACTTTCCCAGGCTCTAGCACTACTCAACTCCGTCTGAGGACCACTCACACCTCAGCCGCTGATGCGTCAGGAGTGCCAATTGGTGGATCCTTTCGGTTGAGTTAGCAAATCCTCGAGAGTGGGGTACAAACGACTAGGAATCGGAGAGTTGGACACGCCTAGCGAAGCAGCGCGCACACCGATGGCTATTCATTCATGCGTATACATACACGAGGCAAACTTCCGGGGATATAACCATTCACCAAGCATCTATCATGTCCCCCTGTCACACCCACCCACCCACCCCTATCTCATGAGCAGGTGAGTAGTAGGGCTCGCGAGCTCCGGATGTTGGATAACCTTCCACCGCGCGTTCTGGTCCGGCCGTGCAGGCAGAGTAATGTACTGTTTGTGGTCACATCCTGCCTTTGCTGTTACAGTTAGAAGTGGGGAAAAAGGTTACAATTCGGATGGAGGCGGGGTGGTGGCGTGAGTAGAGCACTACTCGCGGGGACGCATGCACGCACGCACCCAGTTCCGCCATCTGTTCATGTGGGCGTGCCCGGAAGTGGGGCTCTGCTACCTCTCCCATCCACACGAGCTCGCGCGCGCGCGTTTCAGGGGAAATGTGTGTGTGTGTGTGTGTGTGTCGTGCGTGTGCCCTGAAGGGGTACGGAGAACGGATACAGTTGCTAACGGAAACGACTGCGCCTGGACGGCGACGAGTGGGGGAGGGGGGGAATCTAGGAATAACTTGTCATCTAACGAGCAGATAAATTTCGCAAGTGAAAGGAATTATTATTTAGGTGGAATAAAAAAGTGAACCCCACGTCAACACTGGAGCCAAGGAGACGCGTACTACTTAAGTGCGGTTTAGTAGCACGCAAATAACCTTTTCCAAATTGGGAGCTTGTGCTCATGTTTGGATGTCCCAAGCGTCACGCTTCACTGAAATGACTTGCCCTCAACTGGGCAATAAATTAAAATCTGTTCCACCACAGATGAACAATTGTCAAGTTTCCTTAAGATTCCCGCAGAGATCAAAGTGACTTCAAAGTCCAGCATAATTTTTTCTTTTTTTTAAAAAAAATTCACAGGAATCCTGCTAATTCTAACCCCACTACCTCAATTTATGCAGGCTTTTCAAAACCTACCACTCACAACGTCTAAGTGCGCGAAAACTCATCCACTCCCGTCCCCAATGCGTGTTGGTATAAGGGACTATTTAAATCCTTGATTGACTGTGTCGACTTTTGGTAGTAATTGTGAACTGCTGCTGGGCAGCCGAAGACAATCGACTGTAACGTTTCCCCCAACGAGGCATCTCCACCCCTCGAACAGGCAGTCGCTACTGGTCAAACAATTGTAACGAGAGTGTGGCCCAGAGAACAATACAAGCACACCCGTAGCGTGAATGTGGTGGGTGGGTAGGTGGGGGTGGCTACCTCCTAAAAACCCTTTAAACGACAACTGTTTCACAGTTGAGGGAGGGGAGGGGAGGCCTCGGAGTACCTGCTGTGCCCCCTCCCCAACCCCCATGGATAACGCGAGTGAGCATCTTCGTTAAAGTGGACTTACTATCGGGGCAAATTGGGCTGTGTGCGCGCGTTCGCAACGTTCGGCCTAATCAGGTGTCGCGGGGACAAATTGACCACCCCTGTGCCTACCAACTATTCACATATCCGTGGTATTTCAAGTCAATGAGTGCTTCCCAAAACTCAGTAGTGGTTTGGGGAGAAGCTGAAAAATTCAGCATGTTATTGAAGCCGATCAGCTGTTGAGCGATGTTTCGAGAGAGACCACGTCACTCACTTATTGTAGCACGCGCGTTATCTATCGATTTTTTTTAACAGAATCAATAATACTCTCAGTTTGGCTCTCAATTCATTGGTAACATAAAAAGAAACAAAATACCCTAGCATGTATTTTACTGGGTCGAAACGCTAGCAAATTAAGTAACGAGGGATAATCTCATTGGTCAGTTTATATTCCGCCAATATACACTGCGTAGGAGAGTAGGAGAGATTAGGAGGCAGTTGAATTAAGAGCGAGAGAGGGAGAGAGAGCGCGTGGGCTCAACAGTTGGTAATCGCTAATGCCTATCTCTTTGCGCCACTCCACTCTGCCTACCTGCGCCCCCCACCCCCCGGTTAAAAAAGGAACTTGTTTTGTACCCCTCGACATAATACACCCACTCATTACCTGATTGTACCGATAAGGTGTTACCGAAGACGCCCTTCCAAACAACATGACTCAGAATCCTGAGTCATCCCTCTAATGAGACATCTCTTTGTCCGTCTTCTCAGACGGTAGGTAATTCAGGAGGCCCACGATCTTACCAGTCCCTATTCACCAATCAATAACCACGCAGAGTGTTGGAATATCTGCAAATTGCATTGATGTGCTGATATCTGTGTTCAAGAGTTTTAAGAGTTCATCAAAATCGTCTGACTCACGTCGTAGAAGCTGGTACCTGCCAAGCACCAAACGGTCTCGTCTCATAAACCTCAAACCGCTTTTTCAAAGTCTTTTAACGAAATGTCAGCTCCCAAACATTGAAAATCCATTTGATTCAATTAAGTATTCCACGAACTTCGATGATTAAGTCTGCAGATGTTTGACGTATTTTGCTCTTAATTAGTAAGAACACCGCTCTTCAAGCACGTAACTTTTGATGCCACACATTAAAAACACTTTTAATCCCTTTCAAAAACATGAAAATGTCACGCTGTATCATCGTTAGAGCGATCCCTAAGTTGTAGCAACCAGGCTTTTTTGAATCCTCGTTTTTCCGACAACACAGAACACTATCTACTATAATATATTTAGTAGAGATGTCTTATCAGCGTGGCGAAGAAAGCATTTCCACTCCAGGCAGCATGGAGTTGTAAATTAAAACAACCTGTTTTTAAGTTATTAATAGGGAGATACCCTTTGAAAGAAGAAATCATTGAGTTTTTGAGCCTCGAAGGGTCGATCGTTTCACTCGAACGGGGTTAATACACTCCTTGGCTGCCCCCCCGCGTGACTGCAGCGCGATCTTCCGTCCACCGGGGCTTAGTTTCCTATGCGACTGAGGCGGCAATTCCAAATTTGTCGACCTTGGAGGAGATTAAAACAATTATAACTGAATGCTTGTAGCAAAGCAAGGCTACTGCACTACTGTGCCTCACTGAATCGCCGTACCGTACCCAGACAAAAGGAGCTTTGTCATGTTGCCATGGTGACAGTCAGCGATTTCCTGAGCCTCCGGACGAATTCTGCAGCTGGGCTGAGGCAGCTCCTTACCCGACCACCCAATTACGAATGAGTCCCGATCCTTCCGTGTGGTATCAGCAGCACTGTGAATTCTGCTCAGTGAATTGCGATCATTGTCCGGGGAAGGATCTGATTGGCCCAAGGCACTTGCCACTCCTCGGCTCTCTCTCAGCGCATTGGATGGGAGCTCCTCGTGAAAGTAGTGCACCACGCTTGGGTAATTTTGCCTTTTAACCAGTGGCTGACTAGACCAGATGGCAGCCACGTTGTCTGTACTCGAATACGGCGTGGAAGCCAGTGAACGACGCGATTCGCAGGCAGATTCCACTCGTCGCATTCCACGATTGCTAAAACCAAACATCAGACATCAGCACAACACTCTTTTGGAATCCATCAGCTGATTGCCAATGCCTCGAACCAATCACTGATTGGAACTGACTTCGTCAATAGATTAGGCAACCGACTCACTCAGACCAGCCCTGATTGAGGATGGCCTTCATTCCACTTTCAGTGAGTCCACGACCCTTCAGGTAGTTCTCGGCTGCTGCATCCGTAATTCTGGGTCGAAGAACTTCAGCGCTTGGAGGACTGGATTCGGGCGAAAGAAAAGAACGTCGTCGAAATCGGTCATTTCGAAGGTTTTGAAGGGCCTATATTGTGAATGTAAAGCCTTAGGATAGAATAGTTGAAGCCAGACACTGTAATAAAACAATGGAAAACACTTCGCAATTTCATTTGCTCATCATAAATTTGATTGGTTTAAAATCAGGATGCGGGGATTTCAAATTTCCCTCATTCCTCACGGTGTTCGTGACGAACAGTTTGATTGCCTGAAACGTGCACTTACGTTTAGCAGAGTTGATTGTTGCATAAACATGTGGACAACAGTTGAAATGCTTGCATATACTGAACTTTAGCATTTTAAATCCAGTTTAGTTGAGATGGACACGATTTCACCTTGTGATGTCCTTCAATTTTTTCGCTTCGTTTTACAAAACCCTGGAATCGTCATGGCAACGTTCGAGTCAAATAACTTTAGATGAAGGAAAAATAACTAAATAGGTACTGGCACAAGCCAATTCTGCGAAACGGACAAAGTCAAATTCTCAGAAATGGCAAGAAAACAACGAACTACGGATCAAATCAGGGGAAAGCGGATGTAAAAATCTATAAAAAAAAACAGATAGTGCAAATGAAAAGGCAATTTATGGGAAGTACAGTCACTGACCCTAGAACCAAGCACATTTATCGATAGATTCTTGTTAGATCTATGGAAATCAATTTAACGTGGCCACGGTTTTGAGTTTAAAATGACCACAGTCTGATGCCACTTGTGTGTCCAAACCAGTTATTCCGGTGGACAGTTTATCATAATTGACCAGTAAAAGCAAAACCAGAATAGGCAACCGATCCCCTGGCGCAAATTCTAGTCGCTAAAAAAGGCTAAAGACACCTTTTTTAGCCTTTCATAAAACCAGGATGAATATCGTTACTGACGCATGAGAGCTTAGATTTACCTCTTCGTTGCGACATCGGAGAGGCATGGTTAGGTTGTCAACGCCACCAAAGCTTTGTTGGTTATTCGACTGAAGCGTCAGTGTTCCCCTGCTGCGCGCCCAAATTTCCCGACTCTCATCGCCTCGTAGACAGGGGCTGTTGGGTCGAGGTGGTTCGGTGGACTGTGACAAGGATGGTTGAAGAATTCTACCAATCAGAAAGATTAACCAGAACTTGAAGAAGCGAGAAAGGGCAATGTGCAGGTATTAGGGGAACCTTTGAGCAAGAAAAACGCACTCGGCCATCCGACTAGAACTTGGGCGTTGGGAAACCATTTGTTTCCTTTGAAATTCATACTCTGAGAATTCGCAGTGAAAAATATGGTCTTGGCGTCCACGCTCGGCGTTTTCAAAGGCCTCTTCGCGACAAAGTCGGACAGGTGGAGGACGCAAAAGAATGCTTTTGGCATCCAAAAACCGCAATTTTGGCCGGCCATTTGGTCTAGATTGACGGGTATGGACAGTTGGGTGTCTGATCTTGTCCGGGTCATGAATGGGCTCAGCAGCAGCCTGTATGTTTAATCTATAAGATATGACGAGACAACTAAACAAAAGATAAATTTATTGATTGGGAGCAGTTTGTTCGACTTTTACAAAACCGAAAAATGCAATCGACAACACAAGAACCCAACTATTAAATGATACTTTGCTTCCGGAACTAGTAGAAGTGCTGAAGGCACTGGGAAAGACCAATCATTGTTGGCCAATTAATGAATGACCCATGTACGCTGGTGCAATAGAGCTACCCCAGTTTAACATTAAAATCCCCAACGTCCAACACATTTGGACTTATAATTTAACTACATTTAAAAGGTACAACAATATTAAAATTCTAACCGGGTATGGGATAGTGGAAATTAAAACTACAGAAAATTTGTTCACTTTAGCCCATAATCAAACAGAATTTCTAAAACCACAGACAAGAATTTTAATTATCACTACTTTATGAAATAACTTATCACCTTAAGAAGTTAATTTTAAATCTGTGAAGAGCTGAGGAATTTGGATTGAGAAATCAAGGGACCATTCAGCCACCTAAATGTTCACCAAATATACATGCCGACTTCCAAGACTGAGGCAAACGCCGAAATTCATACTAGAAGGTATTCGTGAGGACAAAACTGTCACCAACACAAGCTATCTGAGTGTGAGCTAAACGCCTACAAAATCAATATATGGTGCAAAGCATTATTAAAAATCAAGTGAAAACCAACGATTCAACTAAATTCGTGTATTTTCTCCTATTATGCCGCACATTAATTCGAAAATTTGACAGACCACAAAGGGCGAATTCAGTTAAGTAAACAAAAATCAACAGCACAAAACATAAAAAGGTGTTCATAACAATTAACTTTTAAAACTAGGAAGTGTGCATATATTATAAAAGTTTATTAATAATTTTAGAATTTAATCTCAAACGAATCAGTGCACAGTAGCTTCAGCAAGATACAAATCATTAAAAAAGACAATGGTGTAAACGCTACCTTGAAAATACGTGTAAAAGGGTAATGTAAAGTATGTAACCCTCATTATTAAGCTAAGATAAACATCACTGAAAAATACTTTCTGACACTGAGTTCACAATTTGACATAGATGTTTCGTATACTAACCAACGTCTACCAAAAACGAAGTGTTATATGAAGGGGTTTTGACACAAGCAAAAATAAATTCAACCAAAAACTCCAATATACCCATCTGACATTTTCAATCAAAACACGCTTCAAAAAGCAATACGCCAAAATGACCTAACGCTTTTAAGCTTAAAACAATTGATTACATACAAGGTTAAACTAAATGCTTTGTCAGTAAATAATTACAACCCGAATGCCAATTAAATGCGCAAAAACGTAAACTGTGCCTGCGAAGTCATATATTAAATATTCTTACTCAAGGTAACGGGAATAAATAAGAGAAATTTAACTTGCGACATGATTTTAGGCAATTTTGGTGTCTAAAATTAACGTGGGGTTAAAGACGTCTAGTCTGAATTTCCTCAGTTGAACAAAATTTGAAGTGGTTTATGACTTGATGAAAGTATTTCATCCTCTAGCCTTCATTCTTTTTGTCGTTTTCGGACATAGTCGGTGTTTTAAGCGAAAATGAAAGCAGACTACAAAAGTCGTTTATTGTCAAATCGACTCAAGTCAGTTAATTTAATAAACAAAATTATCTCTTTTCGGATATGTAAAAAGAGTTGCCAAGGCATAATGTCTCTTAAAGCATTGCAGGTTGTTCCGCAATCACTATCTTATTAATAATATTCCAAGGTTTGCGTGAGGTGTGGTACGAAAATATTTCTTATGTAAATAAGGTCATGCACTTTTTAAATGGGTTAGTGGGCCGCCTCTGGGCCACCAATTTTGCCTCCATCAAAAAAAACTTAGCTTAATAACACACATGCAATTTTAATGCCAAAAATAGGAAAAGGCATATCAGGGAATTGAAAGATATGCGCATTCATCAATGTACTGTGGACTTTTTCTACATATATTTACTAAATTTTGTCAACATTCAAGTTTTCAAGGCAGCTATTGTTGTCAATACCTCTAGGTGGTATTTGCTTTCAATTTGTTGAGATGGAAAGTTTATTTCAGAAACCCGATGCAATATAACAATGGACTAGATTAAGAGCGTGTAGTGCATGTAAAATCTAGATATGAAGCCCTGCACAAAGTAATTTAAAAATGAAACATCCTAAATTTGTTGGAAAAGATGCAAAGCAACATACGGAGCCGAATGATGTAAATTTCAGTTTAATTTTTTCAATGAAATTTATGCAAGAAAGCCTAAGAGCTGACGTAAGGAACTATTGAAGACAATTAGCCAATGAATCATGAGGTAATACAAAATAGTTGATTTCGATCTTTAGGCTTGCATAACAATTGAAGACTTGTTTGATGATTTTGAAGCATATCTTCACCATTCAAGATGCATAAAAAATGATTTTGCAGAGGAAAATTTAAAATGGTATAGTTTTTAATACAGTTAATATAAACTTGGTTCTACTGTGTTTTAAAAGTGAAAGGTTTTTAGCCTCGAAGCAATTATCTGATTTTGCTTTTAACGGATCTCTTTGTCTGCGGTACTCTCAATATTGACCGGTTTTTGATGTGTCAAAATGGGTAAGTCTACTTTTCACGATTTATGTATGTTTATTTTTTAATTATGAACCAAATGGCATATAGATCTTTGTGAAATTATTCTTTTTCGTTAACCCGATGGGACATCAATTAACGTGTCGATTATGCATCGTCCTTATTTTCCATTTTTGGGAGTTGATTCTGGCTACACAAGTATTTTCATTTAAAAGCCGTTTGAACACTTTGTGTGTTGTAAATGGTGTTTTTTACATTTGATTCCGTTAAAAATTGTGAACAGTTTATTCTGTCGCTTGGTTTTACCTTATTTGTCAAGTTAAACGTGGCATTGCAATTTTGCCGTTAACTTAACATTTTTGTACTATTATTGCAAATAGGACTTCTAATCTCGCTTTGCCAGAATAATGCTTGGCAGAGATTGCTTTTTCACTTTTTTTATTATCTGTTTACTACCTCATAAAACTGATTCATTTTAGGATTTTTACGTAACTTTTAACTGATTTACATATTTGCGTGGAATATCGAGTTTGCATCATTTGTTTTGGTTTCATACTCGTGTTAAATGCTTGGTTGGATTGTTTTTCATTCCATCACTAAATGTCGCCTTGATTCGACACTGCTTGGCTTTGTGAATTTGATACCCCAAATAAGGTATCAGAATTTTGATGACCTTTTCTTCGTTTTGCTTGAGATGCCGTCTACCTTTATTTACTGGTAAATTGACGCCTCTAAAATCAGATGGAAAAAATTCCTTTACTCTGAGACCAAAATTCTGATTATTCTAAAGCACTAATACAATGGGATTGCTCAAATTGCAAGGTTCGATTTCCTACCTCCAAGTGTATAATAATTTATATGACCAGACGTATGTGGTCTTGGTTTAAAGCCTTTTACGTGGTATTTTTTGAGTCCTTGTCTTTCGCACAGTGATTAATTTTCTGCTTTTTAAGGTGACTGGAATACGTGGAAAATTTCTAGTGACGAACGCTGCAAGCATGACGAGCGCTTTCAGTTCCTTCGACCTGTCAACGGTTACATTACCGGAGAACAGGCGAGGGACTTTTTCACTCAGTCAAAACTGCCAACTTCTGTTCTCGCCAAGATCTGGGCTCTGGCTGACATCACAGCTGATGGCAAGCTGGATAAGAAGGAGTTTTCCATTGCAATGTTTCTTATTAAAAAGTGTATTGAGGGTGGTACACTGCCAATGCAACTGCCTCCTTCTCTGTTGCAAGAGCCTCAGCGTTTCATTCCATCTTCGTCGCACAACGTTCTGACCTCCACGACGGTGGCCAAGTCAAACAGTAGTTCTGGTACTGCTGATTCAGGCGAATGGAGTATTTCGGCAACCTCGCGTCCCAAATACAAGCTACAGTTTAATCAAAATGATCGGAACAAGCGTGGCTATCTGACGGGTGTGGAGGCGCGTGGTGTTTTTCTCAAGTCAAATCTTCCTCAAGCCCAGTTGGCTTTAATATGGTGAGTTCGGTCATTCACGGCCCCTAGTTAAACTGTCCACTCTTCATCCTTCTTTCCTTTCTGTAAGGAATCTTGCCGACATCGACAAGGATGGTAACTTAACCTGTGACGAGTTTTGTATTGCAGCCTACCTGATCGATCAGGTATTGGCTGGACGAAAGCTGCCCACAACTCTACCTCCTTCGTTACTGCCTACGTCTTATGTAGGTCTCTATCTTGTCTGCTTCATTTGCTTACTTTCACGTACCATAAATTCATTTCCTGCATAGGCTCAGCAAAATGATGTATCCAAATCTACCGTGGTCGCCAGTGAACATAAGGACGAAGGTGAGAAATGTTTTTAATATCACTACCTGGAAAATATGGTGAATATTTAGTTAGCTTCCTATTTGAACGTAGGAGTTCGGTGACCGGTGTTTGCCTATTGGGTGGTGTATTTATTCCATTTGTCCTATGTGTGGTGTTCGGATTTTATTTCTCGACTTTCTTCGTTTAATTAGGCTTGCTGAATGGTATTTCTTGAAGAATATCAATGTATTAAATGTAAATTTATTTTGACTAAACAGGAAAATCTTAATAGTAGTACTAATGGCAATCCAAAATTTCATTATTCTTTGGTGATATGGCGTGTGCTATTGAGAGCATCCAAAGCAAAATAATGAATTCGAGTTGGTTGGTTGTTTGCCTGAAATAGTTGAGGGGAGTTGAGGGGACCTGTGCTTCGTTTAACGTCAGGTAGGTGCAAATAACGCTATTCTCGTTGTTTGAAATTAAGGCCGCGTGACGTTTGAAGACAAGCGGATGCAAAACTTCCTCTTGGGTCAAGCAGAATTGGATAAGAGAAAGCAAGATCTTGCGGAACAACTAAGGCAGGAGGAGGAACAGCGACGTGAACAGGCCCGAGTCGAAGCCGAAAAACAGGAGAAATTAAGGTACGCCCTCTACCACAGTTGCCTCACACCTAGAGGCCTATATGTGATGCTTAGTGTTCTTCATTTTACTAATATAGGTTGTCTATAGTTTTAGTTGCCAGGTTGCGCCAATTTAAAGGAAGTCGGTATAGAAAATTGTGCTTCGTCAAATAATAATCATTCACCTTTCAACGTTAGATGCCTTACCACAGTTCTTATGCGCCGTATTACCGGTTGTTGCGTTTATGGTAGCGCAAATTTCAAGGTCGTTTTCGGTCTTCTGTTAGCCAATCAAAAGTCTCGACTTGTTACTTGATGACAAAATGACAATTTTAGAGCAATTCATGCACCACAGTCTATATAAGCTCGACTAAAAACTGAAAACCCGCAACTTGCGGTGCTTATTTTAACACGCTGGTTGGGAAAAGTGGACGTTATGTTATGAGTTAACGAGAAGATAGTCGAAGCTTCACTCTTCCACATAACCCATCGTATTCCTGGCGTTTAAGGCTGGAAAAGGAGCGCGAGCGTCAAAAGCAGGCTGCGGTGGAGGCGGAAAGGCAGCGGGCTTTGGAGGCTCGTCGACAGCAGGCCGCGACTGCGAGGCTTCAGGCGACGCGTGAAGAACTGCGCCGCAGAGCCATCGAGGCCGAGAAGGCGCGGTTCGAGGCCTTGCTGAAGGAGCGCGCCAAGGAAGCGCAGGCTTTCGAACAGGTTAGGCCTCTGCTCTTTTACTAGAACAAATCCTGGCCCACCACTCTCGGTGTTTTGCCGCTAATTCCTTGTCGATTGTTTCCCAGTGTTGATTGAAGCCGTCCAACTTTGACTTTGATTGGTCTGATTGATTTTAGCCCCCCCGTGTCACCAAATTGTTACGATAAATCGCTAGAACAGCAGCATTAATGGCCACGGGAGCTGTGCAATTTGAAATGAACAGCAACAGTAACTTGCTAGATAGGTTTAGGTAACCTAACGGAGCGTATAATCAATTCAGTACTTGTAAATCACATTTCAAATACACATGCCATCCCATTTTTTTAAAATAACACCTGAAATATTCGAGATACCGCAGTGCAGGTTTCAGTGAATCCTCAATTTTGACGTCCTTTATGTGTGTTGGATTCGACGAACCTATCTCCACGTGGGTTTTAGGCGAAGGCGCACCGAGCCAGCCTACAGGAGGCCGCTGGTTCGCAGACCACACGCCGGCAGGCTGCGCAGACGCGCTTCGAAGTGGCCCAGGCGGAGGTGGACGCCCACAAG